GTGAATCAACCTTAGGACTAGCCTTACTTAGTGGCAAGTTGTGCCTTATTTAATGGCAGGGCCAAAGCCAGGGACTTGTAGCCAAGCCACTGTTGGGGTTCAGAGTTCCTAGCTGAAACAAGCAAATACACTCTCCTTTGATAGAGTTCATGTTGTAGTCATGTGCAGCTTTCCCAAGGGCTTACTTACTCTGTGCTCTTCTACTGGCCAAGGAAGAGTTCTAGTCTTTTTTACCAGTTATTGCTGAGCACACAGCACATGGTCCATCTTTCCCACCCACTTCTTGAGTGAACTTGGGCAATTTGTATTATTTTTGTCTTTTGTTTTTGACACAGGTTCTCACTATGCAGCCTTGGCTGGCCTTCAACTCAATCCTCCTGTTTTAGCCTCCCATGTTCTGGGTTTCCAGGCAAGTGCTATCACACCCAGCTATGTCATTCTTTTTCATTCTAGGACTTCTAGGTTAGCTGATTTATTGATATACAATAGTTCATAGAATAACCTGGCATTATTTTTTTCTGTAATATTTGGTAGGAAATCCTTGAGTTTTAAGTCCTGATGGCATCAGACATTAACTCTCTGTGTATGGCAATTCCATGAATACACTAAGTATAAATGGAGTATTTCATTCAAATGAAATCCCGTTTTCTATCACGACTGTAGCTCGAGGATCACGTCTTCATGAAGTTTCTGTGACTCCCTCAGAGTGTGGTACTACCACCTCTGCTACCATTACAAATTCCTCCACTTAGGAACTTAACTTCGTCTTCTGTCCTGCAGGCATATGTGCAGATAGAACACTGTATGCCTAATTTAAAAAATCTTTAAAAAATAGAGAACTTTAATGCCAATACTCAGGAAGCAGAGGCAGGTGGATCTCCAACTTCAAGGCCCAGCCTGGTCTACACACAGAGTTAGTTCCAGGACAGCCAGGGCTACACCAAGAAACCCTGTCTCAAGAAAAAAAGGAAGAAAAAGAACTTCATCAGCTAGATGCAGTGGCTTACAATTGTTATCCTAGAGTGTGAGACTCTGAAGCAGGAAGATTGCTTTGAGTTTAAGGCCAGCCTGGGTTACATAGGCAAACTCTAGCTCATTCTGGGGGGTTTCAATAAGATTTTTATCTCAGAAAATGCTTCCTTGATTATTAGTTTAGTTTCTTTATAACATGAATTTCCTGTTTATGTTAATCCTGTGTGTCCAGTCCTTTTAATTTTATGTGTATGGCATTTGCCTACATTTATATTTGTTTACCACATGTGCCCCTTGTGCCTGCAGAGGCTAGAAGAGGGCATTGGATTCCTCGAACTGGAGTTATAGACCGTTGTTAAACACCATATGGATCCTGGGAATTAAACCTAGGCCCATTGGAAGAGCAGCCAGTGTTCTTAACATCTGAGCCCTCTCTCCAGCCCCTTTATGTAGCTCTGGAGATAAAGTGATAAGGCAGAGTAGAGTCCGTCTGATCTCAGGGAATGGATGATGGAAATGATAGAAAATTAATAAATAAAAATCAAGCAATTATGATTATTGAAAGCCATATGAATGAAACAAAGGGTTGGGAGAGAGAATCACATGAGAACTTAGTAAATATGGTCAGGCAAAGGCCTCTGGCTAGGTTATTTATGAAGTGGCGTCAAAGTAGATGAAGAGAACAGACAGCCTTAGTGATGTGATGAGCACAGCATTCTAGGTAGAGAGAGGAGGATGTGTGTGCTATCAGCTGTTGGAAAGCACATGTTCTTTTTAGAGAACTGAAATAGAAAGACAACTGGTTTGGCCATGGCAGTGGAATGTGTATATGAAAGAGGGAGACTATATACGACACTGCAGAAGCCAGTTCTGCCTCTATTTAGAGGGTAATTTGGAGGAAGAAACTAATGGGAGCAGATTCTAAAATCAGTCCTGTCTATGTTATAACACACAGGGCAGAGAGGGAGAGCAAGAGAGAAATTATGACTATGGAAATGTGTTGACTAAAAAAGTCTAAAATTTTCACATGTTGCAAAACAAAAAAAAAATAGAAACAACGACAAATGACAAACTGAGACAGAAATACCTGCAAGGCCCATTAATAGGTCAAGTCTCCTTAATGTAAAAGAGAAAGGTGACTCAAAAGATATGAGCTAACAGTTCACAAAAAAAGAAAAGAAAAAGAAAAAACACAAATGGTTGTCATATTGGTGCTAAGATGTATAGCTTCAGTTTTTTTGTTTTTTTTTTTTTTGTTGTTGTTGTTGGTTTGGTTTTGTTTTGTTTTTCGAGACATGGTTTCTCTGTAGCTTTGGAGCCTATTCTGGCAATCACTCTGGAGACCAGGATGGCCTCGAACTCAAAGAGATCCGCCTGCCTCTGCCTCCCGAGTGCTGGGATTAAAGGCGTGTGCCACCAACGCCCGGTATAGCTTCAGTTTTAAAAGAGGAAATGCAAATTGGCAAATCCCATTTTCTTTTCCCTTTGTTTCTGAGGTGAGTCTTGCTATGTTATCCAGGTGGGCCTCAAACTGTGATCCTCCTGCCCCGGCCTCCTGAGTAGCCATGACCATAGATAGGTACATAATATCACACCATTTAAGATCTCATTTTTCACATGTGAAATTGGCTGGGATACAGTTAACTAGCATTGTTAGTGTTCAGGCATCTGCACTGGCCTATCCTTGGGATTCTGACAGGACACTCCCTCAGCTGCAGCCACTAAGAGCAACACCTGTGCACATTCACTATGTTCCTTTTAAAAGAGCCCTGCTCACTTTCTCTCTCTCTCTCTCTCTCTCTCTCTCTCTCTCTCTCTCTTTCCTTTCTCCCACTGCTCCTGTCCCCGGAGGCTCATCTCCCACTCCCCTGTCCCTTTTTACAATCCTTTTCCCTTAATAGAAACCCCTCCGCTTGAACTCTGTTGTATGGTGTCTTTCTCTTGAGCCACTTTTTAAAAATTAGAACAAGTATACACTATCAGTGAGGTGATAGAGAAACAGAACTCTCAATACACTGCTGCTAGTATAAACTGCTGCAAGTTCTATGGGGAATAATTTGGTAGTGTGCTGGTTTGAGTGAGAATGACCTCCCATAGACTTGCAGATTTGAACGCTTGGGTCTTAGTTGGACTCTTAGGAAGGATTAGAAGGGTTTGGCCTTGTTGGTGGAGGTGTGTCACTGGGAGTGGGCTTTGACTAATACCAGGCCCAGGTTATTTATAATACCCAGTCCAATGAAATAATACTGCATTGCTTAGAGGCTAATGACAAGAAAATATGTGCGTTTTCAGTACTAATACAACGTTGTAGGGCGTGTGCACGTGTGTGTGTGAGTGTGTGTGTGTGTGTCTGTGTGTCTGTGTGTCTGTGTCTGTGTGTTGCATTCACATGGGTGTATATGCACATGCAGAGTCTAAAGCCGAATGCTAGGGTATCTTCCTCTGTTACTCTACATTTTATTCCCTTGAGATGGGGTCTCTCACTGAATTGCCATTTCAGCTAGGCTAGCTGGCCAGCATGCTCTCGACTCCCCAAACCTGGGGTTACAGGCATACATAACCATGCCTGGTTTTTGGTTTTTCGAGACAGGGTTTCCCTGTGGCTTTGGAGGCTGTCCTGGAACTAGCTCTTGTAGACCAGGCTGGTCTCGAACTCACAGAGATCCGCCTGCCTCTGCCTCCCGAGTGCTGGGATTAAAGGCGTGCGCCACCAACGCCCGGCTCATGCCTGGCTTTTTATGTGAATGCTGGGAATTCTGACAGAGCAAGCACTCTTACGGAGTCATCTCTCCACCCCCCTGACACAACCTTTGTCTAACATTTTCTATCCATGCTTGGTGGAACCCATAGATTCAGAAACCATGGATACAAAGGGCTGAATGTGGAATTGGTTGCTGCTCTATTATTATGGTTATTATTGTTGCTACTATAAGTCCAATCACTATTTTGACTATTAATGTTGCTACCTTTTTGTTCCCTTAGCTAGCATTATTATTAATTGCTCACAACTCTGTTAGTTGTTCAGTACATGCTCGTGAAAGAAGGAATGAACGCATGCTGGAGTTATAAATTTAGTACGTGCTTAACTAGCCAGTAGATATATGAAATGAAGAACTCTTGAACTTTTAGCATGAATTATGATAAGTGACGAATGATGGGGGAAATGAGCTAGGAGGTTAATTGGTTATGAGACTTGCTCTTAATATTTCATTTTTTAACTTCCATTCTCTGTGTAGGCCTGAGGGAATCGAGCGTCAATATAGGAAGAAGTGTGCGAAGTAAGTAACAACAGTGCTGGTTTTCCTGAGCATAGGTCAGGAAAAGCATAATGTGTTAGGAACATAGTCTCTCTTTGGCCTTGGAAATCTCAAAGGCCTTCAAACCAAATACTAATACGCTTTCTAAAGATGCTAGTTAAATTCCATCCCGGAGCAGCTGATTACAGAAGGGAGGAAAATGAGGACTTTTTTTTTTCTTTTGAGGTATGGTCTTGATATGTAGTTAAGGCTAGCCTTGAGCTTGTGATCTTTGCCCTAGCCACCAAGTACTGGGATTACAGGCATGCACTACCACACCAGGCAAAAACTTGGGTTTTTAACCTAACACAATTTGAAAGATTGAGATGTAATATTTCTGCAATAAAATTTACCCATTTAGCCGAGCATTGATGGCACATGCCTTTAATCCCAGCACTCGGGAGGCAGAGGCAGGTGGATCTCTGTGAGTTCGAGGCCAGCCTGGTCTCCAGAGCAAGTGCCAGGATAGGCTCCAAAGCTACACAGAGAAACCCTGTCTCAAAAACCAAAAAAAGAAAAAAGAAAGAAAAAAAATTACCCATTTAAATATTCAAGTCGGTGAGTTTTGACAGAAAAATACAGTAAAATAATGCCACCACCCTCATGATAGCAAACATTTCCAGCAGTCGCATGTCTTTGCAGCCAATCTCCTTCCTTCACCCTTCTCCCTGGTAGTCAGTACTTCATGTCATTGTGCTTTCACCTTTCCTAACACTCAGGTTTTCAGGCTTGACAACAGGCCCCTTTACCCACTCAGCCATCTTGCTGGCCCTTATACCTAGCTTTTCTCAGTTTGATGTTTTAGGAATCCATCCAAGTTGTTATGTGTATCAATCATTCGTTTCTCTTTATTGCTGGGTATCCCATCCTATTAGTTCATTTACTCATTCACAGTGCTCTTTATTTTGAGCATTACATGGTAGCAATTTGTTTACACATTTACAACGAATTTGAATTGCGTCCAGTGTAGGCTATTACCAGTAAAGTTGCTGTGAAATTCTAAATAGATTTTATTGTGAACATATATTTTCTTTTGGGGTTGAATTGGCTAAGTAATAATGGAAAATGTGATACAATATAATTTACTTCCAGGCTTATGTATAAAATGTATTTAACTATAAAGCCAAGAATTCTTTTTTGTTTGTTGTTTGCTTTTCAAGACAGGGTTTCTCTATGTAGCTTTAGAGCCTGTCATGTGTAGGGGAAGCTGTAGCCACGCCTACTTAGGGAAGTTGCTCTGTAGTCCAGGTTGGCCTTTAACTCACAGAGATCTCCTGCCTCTGCCTCCCTAGTGCTGGGATTGAAGGTGTGCACCACCACCGCCCAACAAAACTGAGAATCTTAAAGGATGTTGTTTAAAGCAGAAATTCCAGCTTTAGGCTATTCATAGTAAGAATATTAATGAATTCAACTTCTGCTATTGTTGTTGTTTTGAGACAAAATCTCTCTGTGGGGCCCTGGCTGTCTACTATGTAGACCAGGCTGGCCTTGAACTCATCTGCCTCTGCCTCTGGAGTGCTGGAATTAAAGGCCAGCTGCTGTGCCTGGCATTTATTTATTTATTTTTATTTTTTTTTCAACTTTTTTTTATTTGAATTAGAAACAGGATTGTTTTACATGACAATCCCAGTTCCCTTCTCCCACACTCCCCTACTCCCCCCCCCAACTAAAACCTTATCTGACACATCTTTTCTGCTCCCCCTGGATGGTGAGGCCTTCCATAGGGTGTCATCAGAGTCTATTGTATCCTTTGGGGTAGGGCCTAGGCCCATCCCCATGTGTCTTGGCTCAGGGAGTATCCCTCTATATGGAATGGGCTCCCAAAGTCCACACCTTTGCTAGGGATAAATACTGGGCTTCTGCAGGAGGTCCCATAGATTTCTGAGGTTTCCTCACAGAAACCCATGTTCCTGGGGTCCTGATCAGTCCCATGCTGGTATCCCAGCTATCAGACTGGGGAGCAAGAGTTCCCAGATGTTCAGGTCAGCTGTTTCTGTGGGTTTCACCAGCCTGAGCTGGACCTCTGTACTCTTCACTGGTCCTTCTCTGCATCTGGGTTATGCCTGGCATTTAAATTCAATGTTTATGTGAGGACAGTTGCATCTTGGCTCTCAAAAGACTCAGAGTAGGAGCTTTGAAGCAGAGGAAACTAAGTAGAAGATAGGAAGGCATTTGAGTTCCTAGCTATACTAGATTGATGAAGCTGGTTTTTGTCATATTTTGTAGGTCTACTTTTTAGCTCAGTGGAATGGTGAGCCAAAGAAAGTGGCAGTTGTACAGGATTTATTTTGCCAAACACTGCAGTGGCTCCTGACCACTTTCTCTGATGCTGTAAAATGAAACAGCAAAGTGCTCAGGTACCTGGGAATATTGGTAGCAGTTTTTGACTACAAAGCCAGTAGCTAGCACTTCCCAAGTTTTGCCTAATGCCAATAATCATGTGGGATGCCAATGAAAATAGTAGAGTTTCAGGCCTTACTCATCACCTTCATTTGCCAAACCAGGATCTTCAGGGAGAGACCTAGGAAACTGATAGAAATTTCAACATGCACCCTTAATTGAGTCTTATCCAGTTCGTTAGGCAAAAGGTGAACCTTTTATAGCACAAATGAAACTGTTCCCAGAAACCAAGTCTATTTTGGGTGTGTAGAATTAGAGGCCTTCCAGAGATTCATTGGCTCTGCCATTTGCAGGTGTGGCCTACCACTCTTTTACCAGTCCCAGCCGAAGAATGCTCCTGTGACCTTCATCGTGGATGGAGCCGTAGTGAAATTTGGCCAAGGCTTTGGAAAAACCAATATATATACTCAGAAGCAAGAGCCTCCTAAGAAGGTAATTAGCATCCAAAGACAGAGTACTTACTATAGCTACACAGTTAGTCCCAAATTTAATCAGTGCTGGGGATCAAACCCAGGACTTGTGCATGTTAGGCAAGTACCACTGAGCAGTAGCAACACCCCCTAATTTTTAAAATAAAGATATAATACCTGAGAAACTTTCACTTATACATGAAATAGTTATTAAGAAAATGCCATTGTTGTATACAGGCAGGTATTATAGAACTGTAACATTTATTATTTGGTGGTTTATATACAGTAGTCTCATAAGGTTAGAAATATAAGAATTTGGTTCCCAAGAACCCACAGCTGTCTCTCTAGCCACCTTTTTCTGGGTGGTGGTGGCACTCAACTTTAATACCAGCACTCAGGAGGAAGGCAGAGAGGCAGGTGTATCTCTGAGTTCAAGGCCAGCCTGATCTACAGAGAGAAACTCTGTCTCAGAAAACAAAAACAAAAAAAAAGCACAATAGCAAATGTTTGAAAGCACTGACATTTAGATAGTCAGGCTGTCCCCACATCCCTCTTGTACACAGACCACAGACATGCACACAAATGTGCTCGCATACACGGCTCGTGGATCCTAGTGGGGTGAATTTAGCTTGACGTCTGTTCCTTTTGTTCTAGGTTATGATGACCAAACGCACTAAAGACATGGGCAAGTTCAGCTCCGTCACTGTGTCTACCATTGATGAAGAAGAAGAAGAGATAGAGGCTGTAAGAGCTTTCGCTTTCAGGGGAATTGGAGTAGGGATGAGGTCTAAGTGACAGTTGAGGTCTGTAATTCCAGTTCTATAGAGGTTTAGACAGGAGGCTCTCAAGTTCAGGGTCTGCATGTACTACATAGCAAGATGCTATCTCCAAACAAACAAATAATAAGGTACCGGACTGAATAATTTTCGGTCCCTTCCAATCTGGCTCTGATGGTTTGAGTCTATCCTTAATAGTAACAGCAGTTACTTTCCTGGTATTTCAAGCCAAGTGTATTTTATGGAGAGGTGTTATCAAATGATCACCATGGAAACCTGAACTCTCCATGAGTTACTGAGAAAATGGAGAGTTGAAAGTGTAGGTGTGTGTGCTGTTTTAGTTCCAATTTCTGGACTTGAGCAGGATAAATCAGTACCGGGGTCTTGATTGTAGTTCCTGGTAAGTGTGTTAGTCTAAAGGACCTTCATTTTTCCCATAGAGAGAAGTTGCTGACTCGTATGCACAGAATGCCAAAGTGATCGAAAAACAGCTGGAGCGCAAAGGCATGAGTAAGAGGCGACTACAAGAGCTGGTAAGTGGCATGGGGAGGAAAGGCGCAGGCTTCCTGGCTTGATGACTTGCTTTGAATGATTTGCAGAGGCGGGAGAGCTCTTAGGAAGCTCTTGGGAGTTACTAGTATAGTTGGCTCTGCCCACTTTGTCACCCCAGACTTTGGCTGTTGGTAAACCCTGCTCTGCAGTAGTGACTGGAATGTAAGCACCAAGTTAGAAATCATTTGACAGGCCTGACTAAGGTGATGCTTGAATCTGTTTCTTGTGCTATGAGGTCAGGAATTAGGGTCGTTGAGTGCTCTCCAGGGTGTGATGTCGACAATCCAGTTGTGCTACTTCAGTATACCTGAAATGGAGCTGTCATTGCTTTGAAAGCACTGCAAAGTTTTCTGCTTTATCCACGGAGTTGACTTATGCCACGAAGCCTCTATGTAGGGTGGGACCTATGTATTTTTTTTGTAAATGATTAATTAACTTTGTTCTTTGATAATTTCATGTATGTATGTGTGTATGTATTATGTATGTATATTATTCATTCTGATTATTCTTACCCCACTCTTTTATCTCCCTCTCACTCTTGTTCACTACTCATTTCTTGATTTATGGTTTTTGGATGATAATAATTACTTATTTTATTATTCTCGGACATTACTGCATTGATGCTTCATCAAAACATCTTCTTTTTCAATTTTTTTAGGTTAACATACAAAGTAGTGAGTTTCTTTATGGCATTTCATAAGTATGTCTCATTATCTTTATTCTCTTTCTTTCCCTACCTTACCACCTTCCCATGCTCCCTACCCCACAGCAGCCTTCCTGTGCTCCCTACCCCTTGTGCTTGGTTTCCTTCTCCTACATAGTCTCGCCTCCTCTACTATTCTGTTTTTTGTTTTTGTTTTCGTTTTTTGTTTTGTTTTGTTTTGTTTTTTTTGAGACACTATTAGTCAAGGCTGACCTCAAACTTGCTATGTACCTAAGACTGGCTTTGAGCTCCTGATCCTCCTGCCTCTACCTACCTAGTTCTTCGATTGCAGGGTCTACACCCTGCTTCCCCTTCTACTTTCTTAGCACATATGGTCCATTGCCCCTCCTTTCCCTTCCTGACCCTTTTTCTAAATTCATGACACCTACGCATACATACACATGAAATTTTATATCTAGCTTTCATGAGCCAGAGTTTTAAGTTGACGGATAACGATTCTAAAAACCACTTCTGGCTTCTACACTGAGCAGTTAAGGGCAAGTGGGATAGTTAAAATAAAGAAGAAATGTTACGAATTTCATATGATTGTGATGTATCAGGGCATACTTTTTTTTTCTTTCCAGGCTGAATTGGAAGCCAAGAAAGCAAAAATGAAGGGGACACTGATCGACAACCAGTTCAAATAATCCAGATCTTTCTGAGTTCAAACTGGAGGCCAGCACTTAGATCAAGACAAAATCACTTCTTGATTTCATAGTCTAGTTTCTAAGTCCCAGGAAAAAAATTTCTGGCCATCCCATTGACTTTTCCCACAGTGTTGTTCTTTTCTTTCATTGAAGTCCTTGACTCCATTTCACTTGCTTTCGGGGAGGTAGATTGTTTTCAAAATCTGTGCATAAATAAGTTGTTTGTCTTACTTGTCTTTGAGACACATTCTTTGTTACATACTGGAAGATGGCCTTGAACTTGTGATCTTCCTGTCTTAGCCTCTCCAGTGCTGTACTTACAAGAATGCACCACCGTGCCTGGCTTCTGTACCAGTTCTCTTCATGTGAAGTACACTTCTATGATATATTTAGGGCTAGATAAGCCTCTAGTTTCTAAGGTAGATGTTTTTTACTTCTTCAAAGCTAATACAGTATTTAAAGATTTTTTAAAAATATATGGTATGGGGGAAAAGTTGCAGGAATTAAATTTAAAATTAATTCCTTTTCTTTCTTAAAAGGTGGATCCGAAGACTGTCTCTGTTCTTTGAATTGACTGTGGTTTGACACTTTCTCCTGTCAGTACAAACCAGTTAGAAACTGCAATCTGCAGGAGTATTTCTTTACTTAAAATAGTAGAGTTATAGGTGAGCCATGCCATATCAAGCTTCAGAGTTAAATAAGGAAAAGCCATGTGTGTGGCTGGGGGTGTAGCTCGGTAGTGGAATGCATGCTTGGCATGTCTGAGGACATCCCCAGCACCAAAAAAAAAAAAAGAAAAAAAGAAAAAAGAAAAGAAAGAAAAAGAAAGCCAGATTGCAGATGCAGGGGTAGGATAGCTCAGGTCTGAATTAAAATATGGCCTTGCTAAGTAACCCAAAGGAGTTAGCCAGTCATCTGGGAGAATTCCTGTGTGAGTACACAGGAGGGGGCATAGTGAGAGAAGATTATCTGTTGGGTGTCTTCCTCTACATTTGCTGTTAAGTGTGTCACTACTTCAGTGACGTCAATATCCACGTGGTTCTTCCATATTCTTATATGTTTGCCTGTATTGCAAGGCGTGAGGAAACATGGAGCCCTCCTCGTGTTATCTATGACCAATTGCACTTTTTAAGCACCCAAGGTTGTTTGTAAGGTGCTGCCGGGAAGTGATTTTCTTTGCCTTTTTTTTTTTTTTTCTGATTTCATTACTTGCAGGGAAAATTAGGTAGGGGAGTAGAGGTACAGTTGAGCTAGCAAAAACTGGGCCAAAGAGGACCGGGGATCCTGGGAATGTGCAGAGGATTGCTGTTACTATCTCCCCAGTTATTCTGCAACCAGTAAGTAGGGTCTTTCTGTGGCTAATTCTTCTTCACCTCATTTGCTGTCCTAGTTGTGAGACAGAATTTACATTGTATGAATGACCACCTGTGTCCAGCAGACAATGACCTCTACCTTTACTCCACTTTATCCTCCAATTCCTATGTGCACAGCTTGGATATACCTACACCACCTCGGAAATTCAGGCTTCTAGTCTCTGGCCACAGCTGCTGATTATTGCTAGTCTTACTTGCTTACTTCTTATAGACCTTTTTAGGTGTGTTTATAGATTCAAGGGGCGCTTATTTTCTTAGTAATAATGAAAAATAATAGTAATAGCAACATTAATAATCATTGCTGTCCTGAGTACTTGGTGTGTGTCAGATGCTATGGAAAGCACTTTAGAGGTATTAGCTCACTCTAACAATACCTCCTCTGAGATAAGTTAGCTGTTGTCATCACCATTTTCAAATGAGTACTCCTGAAGTTCAGACTTCCCAAAAGAGCCACTAGCCAGGAATTGGTAAAGTCAAAAATCTGACTTTAAAACTCAAACTCTTTACTATGCTGAACTGCTTCTCCTGTGGAATATATATATATATATTTAGATCAGAACATAATTTCATTTTGAAAAACCACATGGAGTGCAATGTAAAAATATTCAGCTAGAGAACCCCCTAAAGCAATTCTGTGGTTATTCTTCCACATATTTTCTGAAATATTTGCTCTTAGATAAATGCCAACCATTTCAACATCTGGCTCAAGTTACACATTTTGCTTCCTCTATAAGACTGTGAAACATTAAGTCCTTAGTATCAAGTGAGCGTGTACGTTTATGTTTTAACTCTTATTGAAAATTATTAAAACAATATGATGTACATTCTCTTAATTTCTAGTGTTTTTATAGCAAATGTGTTTTAATGTTAATTTAAAAAAAGAGCCATATTGAAATTTTGGAAAGTCATACTCTTTTCTTTTTTTGCAAATTATTAACTGTGGCAAAAATAGGAAAATGTTGTGAAATGTTCTCACTCTAATAGTTGGTGACATTTGTAATTGTAACTGTCATTTAAGACAAATTGATAATCCTTTTTAAAGACTGACCTGTCTTGTTGAGGGTGCTGGCATGTGCATCTAGTTCTATCACTTAGGATCACTTTTGTTCAGGAGTTCAAGACCAACCTGGGCACCATAGCAAGGAAGACTCAAAATATAAAATGTAAAATAATGTAAACAACAGAATGAAATAAACTAAACCAGCTTGATTTGATCATCTTAAGATCCAGATTGCTGTGGACCATATGTCCTTGGTTGCCTCTGATTTGTGTATTTCTCAGGGGTATCTACTGATTTTCATTTAATTTTCCTAATGATAGATGATGTTGAATATACTATGTGTATAAGCGTTTTGCCTGCATATATGTGTGTGTATCACATGTGCCTGATTTCCTGCAGAGGTCATAGGAGGGCATGAGATTCCCCTGGAACTTGAAGCATGGGTGGGTGCTGGGAATGGAGGCACTCTCTCCAGCTCCCATGTATAGAAACAGAAAACTTGATGGCTGTGGGATTTTTATCCTTTTGCTAGTATCTAATGGGTGCTGGTCAAGTGCTCAACCACTGAGCTGTATCTCCCAGCAGTGACTTTGAACTGTCCTGCCTGTACCTCCCAAGTGCTATGACTACAGACTTGGGCTACCTACCATGTCCAGTTTCTCTAACCATTTATTTTTTGTTGTTTGCTTGAGACAGGGTCTCACTATGTAGCTCTGACTGTCCTGGAATTCACTCACTATGTAGGCCAGGCTGGCTACAAACTCAAAGAGATCCACCTGCCTCTGCTACCCAAGTGCTGGGATTAAAGGCGTGTATCACCATGCCTGTTCCTCTAGTTCCTCTAGTTATGTAGTTTAATAGTGTTGATCTGCATGATGCAGATCTGGAGAATTTTTCATCTTCTAAATTGGAAACTGGATACACATTGAGCAACCCTTCTCCCCTCCCGCCTCTCCTAAGCCCTGGTAACCATCATTGTTCTTTCTGCTCTAGTGCATTTGCCTAACTTAGATACTTAATGAAAGTGGAATCATAGCACTTTTCTTTTTGTGAGGGGCTTAGTCCACGTGGTGTGTGTCCTCAGTGTTTATCCATTCATGTGTTCAATTCCTTTCCCTTTTAAGGTGTAATAATTCCATAGCATGTGTGTGCCACATTTTTTTTATTCAACTCATTGTCAGTAGACTGCTATTTGGATAATGTTGCAGTGAACATGGCTGTAAAAATATCTTTCGGATCCTAGTTGCAATTATTTGGGTAAGCTAGTTCTAGGGTTTTGAGGGGGAAGGCTGTTTTGTTTTTGTAGTGAGCATTGGGTCTTCACATGCTATACAAGTACTCTATCACTTAACTGTATTGCTAGCCCAAGCAGACCTTGAACTCAAGAGCTCCCTTCTTTTTTGCCTCCCAAGGAGCTAGGATTACAGACTGGCACTATCAGGTCTGGCTATTTGTATTTTTCCAAGAGATTCTTTTCTTGTTTTCCTTAGCTGTATACTTTCAAAATCTTTCATAATCACAAACCAACAATATATAAGGGTTCAAATTTCTCTGTACCCATATTGAAATTGCATTGTATTTTTAGTACATTTCTTCAGTGACTGGTGATGTTGAGTATCTTTTCATAGGCTTACGGTCTATTACACAGCATCTTTACAGAACTGTTTTTATACAGAGCTTTGTCAGTTTGAATTGGTTTCTTTTAGTTGCTGCATACATATGTATATGCTAATTTTCCATCTGTGTATCTTTGGTAAAGTGTGTATTCAGTTCTTTTATCGATTTATTTGTTTTTTTGGTTTTCAAGACAGGGTTTCTTTGTGTAGCTTTGGCTGTCCTGGAACTCGCTCTGTAGCCCAGGGTGACCTCAAACTCAGAGATCCGCCTGCCTCTGCCTCCCAAATGCTGGGATTAAAGGTGTGCACCATTTTTAAACCTCCTTTTGAGGTATTTTTGTTGGTGGTGGTAGTGGTGGTTTTTGTTTGTTTTGTTTTATGATTAATTAGGAGTTCCTTATAGTCTGAATCTAAGTCCATACAGATGTATGATTTATATCTCCCACTCTGTGGTTTGTTTTTTCATTTTCTTCATAGTGTACTGTCTTTCTTTCAACATCTCTTTTTTTCCAGAGAAAGGGTGTCTCTGTGGCTTTGGAGGCTGTCCTGGAACTAGCTCTTGTAGACCAGGCTGGTCTTGAACTCACAGAGATCTGCCTGCCTCTGCCTCCTGAGGACTGGGATTAAAGGCAAGTATGTGCCACTTGAATGGGTTGCCTGTGGAAGCCAAAAGAGGACATTGGAACCCTTGGAACTGGAGTTACTTGTGTTTGTGGGCCTCTGTGTGGGTGATGGCAACTGAACTTGGGTCCTGAGCAAGAGCAAGTGCTGTTAACCACTGAGTGACTCTCCAGCACCTATAGTGCCTT